CCCCAAAACCCCAAAACCCCCAAAACCCCAAAACCCCAAAACCCCAAAACCCCTTCATTGATACAATATTGAAAAACGTAAAAAGTTATATGCATTAAAGAGCTTTGCTAGCAGACCTATTCACTAGCTTCACATTTTCAACAGCAGAAAGTTTTCTATTGATACTCTGCGCGTTACGTAGGTTTCCACTATGAAAATTAGTTGAAATATTTAGGAAATTCTGAGGATCAGGGCTCCCATTCTTCTTATGCTGGTTTTCCTCCTCCTCAACAGTTTCTAAAATTAGATCTGAAGCAGGGAATTCCTTTGGTTCTGATTCTTCATGGGTAATATTTGCATTAGAACCCTCACCTTCTTCTTCTGAGGAATTTTCTATATCAAAAAAATATGAATTTGTTGTCCGAAAATTACCTTCATCCTCTTCGCTTTCGCCTTCAGCTTCGCTACCAATTTCAGACTTCATGTCTCCAATTATCTCTTGTAGAAGGTCAGTATTAGTGGAGAGGTTCTCTCTAATCTCCTTGATCTTATGAGGGATCTGCTCCAATGTACTCTTTGTCTCTGGATTCCCAGAGGAAAGTGTCCGTCTCAAGGGAGTTATCAAGTCTATAAATACATAATGAGCAAAGAAGCCAGTAAGAGATTTCAAAAATGGGTATTTTAACAGTCTTTTACCTCCTTGATGCTTATGTTCCTCCACATATTCAGAGATGTTATCAACGTTAAATAGGGTCTCGATGGTGTTCCACCGAAGACTTAGGAGTTTCAAGTCCTTTTTAATACACATATGACACCTGTCTATAATTTTTTCAAGAAATTGTTAGTAATCTCATTGTCCACTTCCTTTTGAAACAAGTTTACCATGTTGATCTAAAGTGTTGCATTATGAGAGTCGATATGATGAATAAACAATGAGAAAATGTATAACTTACACCTTCCTTAACCTTTGTTATGTCCTCAGGTGTGTTGTTCAGGACATTCTCCTCAACCATATAGTTGTTCTTTAGCGGTTTTACAACATATCGTCTTTTTATTTTTCTAATAGATTAAGTTCAAATTTACTCCTTTATGATTTTCTTGTACTTACTTCTACTCCTGCACAGAGAGAAGATTATTACCAGCAAAACTATGTTAAAAAGAGCTGATATTATAAGTCCATACAAAAACATTTATAAACTTCAATAAATTATAAATAGTTAGGGGTTTTGGGGTTTTGGGGTTTTGGGGTTTTGGGG